TGGTCACCCAATGCTTAACTATAGCCTCTACCTCAAGAGGTAGAGGAGCCAAATGACTGGCTCACTGCTGCCAACTAGCGGTCAGAGGCTGAACTACAACGTAAAAATGAACGACTGGCAGGAAAGTTGACATTTTAAACCTTAATAAAAAATCGATACAGGGCTTTAGAATATCCATACAGTATCAGGAAATGAAATATCGCGATATTTCAGTGTATCGATATTTCCTTACACCCCTAGCCTGCACCCCGCCCCCCTCCTCTCTGCAGCTGATGGTCCACCAGCCCTGCCAACCCCACCTCGTGTGATTAATACAGATTTTTTTTACGAAAATTACAGATTTTTAAGGCTCATTATACATGTAAACGTCTGAAGGAGTTGATATGTATGCACAACTAACTTTTAAGATATTTTTTGGGAGTTGTCTACAAAGTGGAATCATTTCTRTAACAGGGATCTGGACAGTAAATCTGAAAATGCAAATAAACAGTGAGAAGTTCAGTGTTTATTGACCAAAGTTATAAAGATTAAATTATGTAGTATTTGCGACATGACAGTTATTACAAGTATATTTATTAGGATGAACAGAAATTCTGGTTTTTGATTGTTTATTACATAATGCACCAGATTATTACACCACTACATTCGGTAACAATTGCCGCAAAATGTAATAACGTTATTACAAAATGCGGCTGAGAGTATTACAAAATGCGTTGAAGACGTTTATTACATTTTGCGTCAATTATTATATAATGTGGTTTTAGCACGAGTTTATTACATTTTCAAGCCTGATTTTATTACATTATTACATAATGCGTTGTTATTACAAAATGAGGTCTTACAGTTCCTGTTCCAGGTTTTAGGCAATAATAGAAACATCCCGTCAAGTTTCATGAGTTACTTATGGTAATTGTTTTTGATTGTTTTTAAAAGCATTAAATTAAATGGTATTTACCTGAGACAGCCCGTAGCGTTGCGCAGCACCTGGGAGGTATGAAGGTGGAGCTTGCGGTCATCATGGTGRCTGGGAGATGAGTCCCAGTTGGAGTGGGGGATGATGACGCTGTTGGTGAGAACTGCCAGGGCGTCCTGGATGATTGGCATCTTCAGTGCATCGCATGACGACAGGTTCCAGAGCACACCTGCGGAAAGCCGCAGACCATAAGAGAGATGTTAATTTTGTCATTAATTACTAACTAATTTAAATGAAAAAATCCAAAAATGAGTTGTACTTTTTTTTATTTACTGCATCTTAAACAGATCAAAGAATCTTGTTAACTTTACTTGAATGTTACTTTTGACCCAAAGGGCTTCAAAATTCTAACTGTAATACTGAAATTAGTTCAAACAAAATTAAAGGTTGATTTAGCAGCTTTATTATTTAAACAGATCTTAAAAATTTAACTTAAATAATAAAAAAAATGTTTTCCTGCGCTTTTATCATGAACTATACTGATGACCAACCCACGAGATGCAAACTGACTCTGTTCTTTTAAGTTGAGAGCTGATGATGYCAGATTTTAATGCTGACTGAAAACTCAGAGTAAACCAGGCTGTCAGCCTTGACACATGGAGCATAAGAACTCGACACATAATAGTTTTCACTCACAATTATGCTGCAAACCCATCTTTTATCGTAAAAAAAAAATTAAAAAGTAGATTGAGTGCAACGGCGCACAAGACAGCAGAGCAGCCAGTTATTTGGACCAATCAAGAGAGGAAAGCAAGAAAGATCCACAAATCTAATATATTGTAATTTATTCTCATGCAGTCGGCTCAGAGAAACATCACTCTGTAGCTCCTCTGCAGAACCGTGGCTTCYTTTCTCCTACGGGTAAACTTTGTCTCAGTAACTCTGACACTTTGACTTTTTTATTGCAAAAAATTCTACAGTGGAAGCTGAGAAACAAACAAAGAAACAGCCTTGCCTTTCCCCGTGTCAACAGAAAATTAGAACTGGGGACTTCAAAACAAACTTTTTTTGGTGAGATTTGGGTTATTTAATCAATAGTAGTTCAACCTAATGAAAATAAAATATTTAAACTGCATACATTTGTTTGCATATTTATCTGAAAATGAGTTCAAAAGACAAGAGTGTTGCACAAATTAAAATATACAAAAAAAAAAAAACAGGTGGTTCTGATATCTCAGATGACAGTGATGGGCTGACTTGGACCCCCATGACTCCTTGGTTCACTCATAAATCACACAGAGAGGTTRGAAGGCATCAAGTCTTGAAGTGATTTGTGAAAGTGATTTTTAAAGAACCTAGTAAAATGGTTACAGGTTCAACAAACTAATTTGTTTGACTTGAAGCCATTTTATTAGCCTGTRGCCATCTGAAGCAGGGGTCTGCAACCTGCAGCTGTGAAGCTACGTGCGGCTCTTTAAAGCTTCAGCCAAAACTAACATGAGACTGATTTTTTTATTTTATTTTCTCTCCCTCTGTATTTTCTGCTCACAACATTAAAGGCTAACTTTAGCAGATTTTCTGTCAATTTGTTTGCAAATATGTATTGATTCTACTTATACTGTACAGGAAGTGAAACATGTTGATTAGATCATGCTAGCAGCCGGCTGACCACTTCAGCAATCCACCTTTCAGCCTTACAGGACTTACATGACTCAAATCCATCAGGAATTATTTGGAAAATCTGTAAAACAGATTGCTAAGAAGAGATATTGTGAGTTGATTAGATAACTACATAATTATATACAATACATTTGGTGTAAACTATCTATATTTTTTCATGTTTACTTGGATGTGATATTTTACTTTATCATAAAGTTTAAAAATATTAATAAATGTTATATTTCACTATATTTTTAGTGTTATAATGGTCACCCTACACTGGCCGGGAAATCCCACCTTCAGTGAACTCAAAGTGGCCCACAGGCCACCAGTTGATAATTACAGTTGTAGCATGTTTTGCAGCTCCACACATTTTATTAGTGTAAAGATTTCAGACCCCTGACCTAAAGTAAAAATACTTTTGTCTAGAATTTCATGGTATATGGA